ACAGAGTTACATCAGGTTTACATTAGTTTATGTGCAGGGAACTCAGAGAAAGTTATCATACTTGTTACATACTTTACACAAAAAGCAAAAAGCAAAAAGGGTGGAACACATCTTGTGTTTTGCTCTTTTTATTTCCTTGTCGACTACACACAAATGTAACACTTCTAGGAGTTCCATCTTTGGCTTTGCGAGTTGTCCTAGTCCGCATTGGAAATCCTACACTTCGAGCATAAGCCAGATAGTGTTCTAGAATTTCTTCAATGCTTGTAAACTTCATCCCCACTTCAGGCACGCTACCTTTGTTTCCTTTAGAAGAACATTGACCATTGTTCCAGACATCATTGTTAATGTCATTTGTGTTTTGTCTGATCTCACCACTCGCCTGTTCTTGCCCTTCGTCGTTAAATAAATACTTAAAGCAAGGATCGTTTAGAAAAAAATCTGGTTCAAAAGCTGCAAAAAACAGTACCTTTAATATAATAAAATACCTGACTATGAAGAAAACAATAATACACCAAATGCAGAGTGCATACAGATAATTAGCGTCTGTGACAAGGACAAACCCTAGATTCACAGAACTTTAATTTCTGTAACACAAAAACAAAACAATTTTTTTCACTACTTCAAATGGATATAGAATGGGGTCTAAATATCAACATTTACAACTGGGCAGCAACTCATATAAACCAGGTCTTCTTCTTCACCACCAAAATCATGTGGTTGCTCATTTTCAACATGTGTAACAATAGATGTTTGTAAGTCCATAATCACCAAATATCCTATGTACTTTACAAAAATTCAAAAAATTATTGCCATAGAAATTGACTAAAAATGGAATGAAGAGAAGAGATTGACAGAGGAATTGTCGTGCTACAGGGGTTGGCGCATCAGAGATATGAAGAGGAAGATAGGACAAATAAGAGATTACCTGAAACCTTGTAAGAAGGAGAGAGAAGAAAAGGGAGAAGAGAGCGGCTCGCTGCCGCGGAAGAGCAGAGCCAGAGCGACGCAGAGGAAAGGAAAAAGAAAAGAAAAAAGAAGAAGGAGAAAAGATAAAAAAAACACCTTATATATGGAGGCAGCAAAGGAGGCATGGGTGGGTGCACTGTAGCACGGTCCTTAAATGTTTGATACAATTTCAGTTTGACGCCTAAACTGATTTGGTATTATTCCGTCCGTCCTAACACTTTTTTTCCGTTGCGCAAAACGAAAAAAAATCCCAAATTTTTTCAATTTATTTTATTTAAATATTGGTATAGAAATAAAAAATAAAACATATATATTTAAAAACTACATCAAAAGTTCAACAAAACAAGTGGTGACAAGAATATTTTATTTTATCATATAGGCCATGAAAAAACACAAATAAATATAAATTCCCGTGAAGTTGGAATAGTGCTCTGGGAAAGAAAGTTTTAGGACGGAGGGAGTATATTATTCGAAAACGGGATGCAGTGATGGTATCATATCATAGCAATGTCAAGCCATTCCATAATACTTTGAAACTTTGAAAAAAAAAACTTTGTTCATAAAAAACAATCGACGTAATTAAAAAATTGGTGCACCAATATTTTATGCATTTTTACTCAAAAAAATGTATTATCTAGTTACAAATTTCCAACAAAATATAATTATAGTTTGATTTTTCAACAAAAAAAAATTATAATTTGAGTGGTACTTCGAGATGATAAAGTAATATAGAAATACGGAGTATAAGTTTAAGTATGTTAAAATTACACCAAAATTTAATACGGAGTATTAAAATATAAACTTACTAAAAATAACAAATGAAAATATATAATTACTTTATTAATTTAATACTTTAGTGGTAACGTTCGGTTCGGTATTTTATATATTTATTTTTTGGTAACTAAAAACGGTTTGATTAGATTCGGGATATAATTTACAAAAACCATTTTAAAACCCGTCTTTCAATTTAGTTATTCAAATAAATTTAGGACTCGTTTGGTCCATTTTGATATAGGTTTTGAAGTAATAAAAAAAATAGATTTTGAGTTTTTGGAGAAAATGGAAATACTCAAATGGAATTGATAGACCAAAACCCCCCGGGTGTGTATTTTTTGGTCTATTCGATATGTGTATAAAATATAGGAAATATATGAACAAGAATATAGTCAGTAGACTTTTGACGTAGAAACCAAATCGGTATCATGCCAACGAGGATGTTTTAATATATATTGGGGGTATATTTGTACAACATATGGGCGTGATAGCCATTGATGGAGCTCGAAGCTCCATCAAAAAAGAGAAGATGAACATGGTGAATACAATATGTGGGGAATGTAGACGGTGGCTCCCCTTCTTCTTGGTTATGTGTCTCTTATATAGCATCAAGGTAGGAGCCTAGGGTTACGGTACTCTAGCGGGCTCTTTGTGTGGACTGGCCCAATATCTTTTTTTAGGCCCAGGGGGTATTATTCCATCAGGAATAAAAAGATCTTCATTGGCACGGACCATTTCCTATGAAAAATGTGATTGCTAATGCACAAGTGCTCTCAGTCCCCCATTATGAAAACTCAGCTCCCATTGTGAAAAACAAAAAAAATGAATGAAAATTTGAAGAGCCAACACTCCATCAAACACCCCCACCTCCCCCCCACTCAAAAGGGTTTTAGGCAGCCACAATCCTTGTTGATATAAAGCGTGTCGATTTTAGAGAGCTGCGAGTGCTCTCCGCTTCTTATAAATAGAAAATGACAAAAGTTGCTTACGGAGAAGATGAATGTATCAAAAGATAGCCTTTAATTTGATAGCACCGAGCAAGAGATAGTTGTCAGCTTCTCGTAAATAGAAAACGACAAAAGTTGCTTACGAAGAAGACGAATGCATCAAAAGATAGCCTTTAATTTGAGAACACCAAGCAAGAGATAGCGTCAAGCAAGAGATTGCTTTGAATTTCATAAGTCAAGTCTCTTTCCCATCCACAAGAGATAGTCTCCACCTCCAAATCAAGAACTTAATATCATTTTGTTAGAGATAGAAGAAGGACGCAGGATTGAAAAAGGAAAGTGTTAGAGACAGAAGACGGAAGCAGGATTGAAGAAGGAAACCGAATCCCTTTGGGATTAGGTTTAGTATCTTTCCTAGTTTGTTTAATTCTTATTTTAGTAGGAATAGAAATTTTCTTGTTTACTTTACCCTCTTCCTATATAAAGAGGGATAGATCTTTGTATTCAAAACCAATTCAAAAAGCCAATTCAATATACATAAATATTTTCTCTCTTATTTTCTACATGGTATCAGAGCCACGTTTGAATTCTTGAGACCTCAAAACACACTTCTTCCCCTGTCGGTGGACATATACAATTCAATGCCTACCGGCGGGATATTGTAATTTTTAATTTATTTGATTGTCCTCCCTCATTCTTGAAGAAGTGGTCGAACAAGGGTTGTTCTACAGAGACAAACAACTCTTTCTATGTCTACTGTTCACGATCGACCGGTATCGCATCCATCGATCGTCGCGTGTTGCTGCTACCGAAGTGCCGGAACGGTCGACCGTTGCTGAAGAACGGTCGAGTGGGTCGACCGTCCCGACGGCAGTTTCTCTTGATCGCGGCTATTGTTCACGATCACCCGGCATCGCGTCCATCGATCGTTGCTCAGTTTGTGTTGTTCGTTATTGCTGCCAAGTTCCGAACGGTCGACCGTCCTACAGAACGGTCGAAGACATTGACCATCCTGTCGGCAGTCTCCTATTGTTGGTCTCTTGGATTCGGAACACGATTGATCCAACCTTGAGATCCAGCATATCGTATGTGGAAAAAGCTTCAGATATATGGAATGCTTTGAAGGCCCGCTTCTCTGTGGTTAATGGACCGAGGGTTCAGCAGTTGAATCGGGATTTGGCAGAATGCAAACAGAAGAATCTCATCATAATGGAATATTATGGGAAGATGAAGAAGTTGTGGGACGATCTTACAGGTTTGGAGCAGTTCCCAATTTGTACGTGTAGTAATTGCACGTGGGACCTGCCAGAGAAGCTTGCATAGATGCGCAAATCGAGGGAACATTTTTTTTATGTCCAAGCTGTGCATGTTGAACTCTCATGCTCCAGCTTGAGGGGGTGTTAGAGATAGAAGAAGGAAGCAAGATTGAAGAAGGAAACTGAATTTCTTTGGGATTAGGTTTAGTATCTTCCCTAGTTGGATTAGGTTTAGTATTTAGTATCTTTCCTAGTTTGTTTAATTCTTATTTTAGTAGAAAATCTAGGAATAGAAATTTCCTTGTTTACATTACCCTCTTTCTATATAAAGAGGGTTAGATCTTTGTATTCAAAACCAATTCAAAAAGCCAATATAATATACATAAATATTTTTTCTCTTATTTTCTACACATTTGAATAAGGAAGATATCAAAAAGCATGTAGTTGAGAAAATTTCCATATCTCCAAATTAAAAAATGAAAATCCTTTTTCATTCACCAAACATGCCTAACTTCACCAAATCCAAATACCACAAAAGGGTTTTTGGCCGTGTTCTCCTCAACTTATTTTTTACTTAACTTATTTTTATTCAAATCAGATCAAAAATAGCTTTAAATATAACTATCTTCAGATTATATCAAATCAGACTAGATCAGAACCAATCAAATCACGTGAAAAGAACATGACCTTAGTATCAAAATTCAATATCTCCTACTACAATTAGATGAGCTCTTGTGATTCCTAAAAGCAAATTTAAAGAAACTACAAACCAACTTCTAAAAAACAACCATAACAAACCCATTTTATCCTACAACCTTCTAACAAATTCATAATTAACTTATCAACCAATTGCCACCCTTGCCTCTCTTTTCTAAAAAAAGACAAACGATTCTGCAACATCATGCACATCTATTCATCTAAGGTCACAAGTTCATACTACTCCCTCCCTCCCAAACTAAGTTGCATGTTTATTATTCACATGATCAAATGACATTCGCTTTCTTTCTCTATTTTCATTACTCATTTGATAAAATAATATAGTCTTGTCACCTCTTGTTTTGTAAAATTTCTGATGTAATATTTTAATATGTAAATTTATTTTTTCAATTTTGCTTCAATTCTCAAATAAATTGTATTGAAAATAACTTCAACTAAACATCGTAAACCAAAATAGACCATTTAAATTAGGACGGAAGAAATATAATTCTTCTAATCCAACTCAATTGACACAATGACGTCAAGATAACAGCTCTACAATATGGGGCAAAATGCCAATAATACAAAAGCTCACAAAATCGCATCCCATTCCTTCTTCATATTGTTAATATGTATATGTGTGTAAGAAAAAAGCTCATAACTTTAACTTAGTTCGCCACATTTCTCCAATAACTTTTTTTGGCGCGGGATCTTCTGTACCTCTGTCTCGTTGTCCTGAAGTATAGTATAACCATCCATCCCAGAATCCAACTAGGGTGGTTTTCACGCGGTAAGGTAGTTTCCCGACCACTTCCCATTTCTGTGAAAATGGCAACAAATCATACCGTAGTAAGAAAGGATTCGAAATAGAAGAAGCTAGGCTCTGTTTGGTTCAAAGAATGTCCAATTACAGTAGGGAATAGTGGTTGCATCTTTGAGCCAAGCAAGGTAATTCTAGTATTTTACCAAGAACCCCAAACAATCATGGTTTTTGAGTTTAGCATGGCACAACATAAAGAGAGGGTACCTGTAAGTCAAATTGAAACTTGAAAATTTCTCCGACGAGTGTCATCTTTTTGGTTTCAGGGTGCTTCTCAGTGGTTCCTCCAACGATAAAAATCGATCTGTTAACTATTGTCCAAGCAAACTCAATATGAGAATCTGGCTTAGGCATTGGAGGCAACATTTTCCACTTCATATCGTCATCTAGCATGTATACATCACCATACACAACCTGTAAGGTCCAGACTAGGCATGGTCAAAACAAAATATTTCAACATCAACCAAACTAATCTTCGCATCTCACAAAATTTTGAAAAATGGGTGAGAATGATTAGGAGTAAATGAGGAAATTTTGTATAGCAGATCAAGTACGGACCATACAATCAGACTATTTATAGTATTTGTTGGTCAGAATACCTCATTTCGGCGTGAGCATTTGAAAATAGGTGATCCCGGTTTGGCCATGAAGTCACCTTCTTGACCACCAATGACATAAAGTTGATCATCAAACACAACACAGGCCCTGCATGACAAGGCAAGATGCACATTAATGCACAGTTAGGAACAACGTGAATCTAGGCAAACAATTGGATTTGCTCCGTTTGTGAACTGTGTAGTTTCACCATCATTTACTCCATTTTGTTAAATCTGGAGTCATCCAGGTGAATGTCATATTCCTGCTATATTTTTAAGGAAAATTTGGCTAAACCCACTTAATAATACCTCACTTGGTAAATAACACCCTATTTTTCAAACAAACTGCCTATAATATTACTCTTCGCTCAATTGAACCAGGGAAAAAAGCATCCACCTCAAAACTCTAGTGTGCTTCCCATTTTACCCCTACTAGTCATATTACATATTTACATGAATAAATGACAAAAACAACAACAACAACAACCCAGTTGAATCTCACTACAGTAGGGTCTGGGGAGGGTGTGTGTACGCAGACCTTGCCCCTACTCGGAAGTAGGGAGGCTGTTTCCAAGAGACCCCCGGCTCAACCTGCACAAAATTATGGAAGGGAACACAGTATAGTACGGGTAAAGCACCAAGTACAAGCAATAGCAAAAGATTCCAAACAAACACAACACACTACAAACAACCTCTACAGCACCGAGCTCCTATCCAGCTACTCTAATCCTAGTTCTCCAAAGGTTCCTATCTAAGGCCATATCCTCAGTCAAGGTGAGAAGTCCTAAATCCTGCCTAATCACCTCCTTCCAATTCTTCCTAGGTCTACCCCTTCCCCTACTTCCCCCGATAATCGTAATCCTCTCGCATCTCCGTACAGGGGCGTTAGCATCCCGCCGTCTCACATGACCAAACCATCTCAATCTCGCTTCACGCAACTTATCTTCCACCGGCGCCATGCCTACCTGATGTCGGATAACTTCGTTCGAAATCCTATCCAACCTTGTCTTTCCACACATCCATCTTAACATCCGCATCTCCTCTGCATGCAGACGACGCACATGAGTTTTCTTAACCGCCCAACACTCTGCACCATACAACATAGCTGGTCTGACTACGGATCGATAGAACTTACCTTTCATCCTGGGCGAGATCTTCGGACCACACAACACCCCTGAGGCTAACCGCCATTTTGACCACGCCACTCCAACACGGTGTCCAACATCCCCATCTAACTCCCCATCAGCCTGGATCACCGAGCCAAGATATCGAAACCTGTCTACCTTAGGTACTAGGTGAGAGTCAATCCTAACTTCCACTTCTGATTCTCTTTCCGACATGGCCATTGTTGCGGATAAATGACAAAAACAAGGCTCTAATTTGCTTCACGCCATTGTTGTTAGGATATGCTCTCCGACATGGCCATTGTTGCTCTACGTCATGGTCATCATGATTCAAACCTTAAACCCTTGTCATATAATACTACTTACTTTATAGAATACATTTTACTGTTTAACTTATACTCCATAATTCAGGAGTGCCACAATGCATATCGCAAGATGAGTTGAGATTTGATTTTATTCCCAAACATACATTAAAAGAGAGTAATTATTTATTCACACTATGAGTGATTCAATTTACTAAAGACTTTTATGAAGATCCATAGGGTAAAGTGGGAGAAATTATGTGTGAAGGAGCGAGGGCTAAGGTTTCCTGATTAGGGGATAAAATGGAAAACACACTCGAGTTTTGAAGTGGATGATTTGTTTGGTGCTTTGATTGAACGAAAAATAATATTATAGGTGGTTTGTTTGAAAAATATTTTTATTAGGGATTTAGGGTGCTATTTCCAAAGTGAAGCCTTTTAAGGAGGTTATAACCAAAATTTCCTACTTTTTATTATAATTCAGTTCGACCCAAACAATTTTTAAACAAGGTTCACCTAAGTAGGATTAAAATTTTGCCACCTAGGTGAATTCTGTTCGTCCTAACTTAGGTTAGTTTTTTAAGTTTGCAGCAACCTAAGTGAACCTGAACTCGAAGGGGGCATAAGAAACTCTATGAATCAAAATACCACCATTTTTAGTGTTTCAGATTCAAACAAAAAAAAAGGAAAACAAAAACACACCAGTAAGCCATATGATGGAAGTCGAACATAGTTGTCCAAGAAAAAAAGTCCAAATGCAGAATGCGCACATTGATACTCCATAAAGAAAACAACAACAACAACCCAGTTGAATCCTACTACAGTAGAGATACTCCATAAAGAAAAGTGTAACTAATAATCTCTAGATATTGTCACAATGTCACTTTTCCTTAACCAGGTCTAAAAGCAGCCTGCTCTTTCTACAAAGTACAAAAACCAAAGACTACACTAAGCACATATCGTAGTAAGAGTCTGTCTAACCTTGTGCGAAAAATCCCCACGCTGTCACTTTTCTAAAGGCAATACCCGTTTTTTAAACATTTTACTCGTATTTTAAATAAATTTAAATAAAAAAGATCTAGCATGATGCTAAAAGTGTTATTGCCTTTAATTTCAGTTATATCTGCCAAAAATAACTTTTGCACTACTTTTTTTCATTACTAACTGATCTCGATATGTTGAATGAAAAAATCACCCTAACAAACAGGCACTACATACCACACATAAGAATATGTGCAGCTGATTGTAGCATGCAAAATCTATCACACAAAAATACCCCAATGTAATCTTCCAAATTAAATGTTGTTATAGGATCATGATATGTTAATATGCATGTAACTGTATGTCATTACATAATATAATTCTAACTGCATTATCAGTCCAC